AATAAATCATAAATCAATCAAGTTCAATCAATCAATAATCAATCAATCAATCAATCAATCAATCAATCAATTCAATATCAATCAAGTCAACTGCTTGTCAATTACAAGCCAATGCACAAATTCAAATCCTGAATTTCAATTTACATGTGCAATAGGATAAACAATGGAATGAGCGTAAGAATATGTGTTGCACTCCTCCAGTTGCGTTGAGGTGCGACGGAATACGCCACTTGCAAGGGCCATTAATACTCGTGTCTACCACGAGTAAACATGGAACTGCAACCGCCACCAATGGGGGTGCCAAGAACCATGGTGACGGCGGCAGTACCTCAACGCAAATGGTCACCGTCGACCAGGGCCTGCTCATTCACCAATACAACTTTTAAAACAAGTGACTTACTAGTCAATTACTACTCGATGCATTAAAACAAAATATGAATTTAAATCGTCAACGGTCATTCACCTATTCCGTTATAATAGTTTTAAGAAATGTGTTGAAATGCAATTATGGACTTGTGAGTATAAAACAACTCCCCGTTTAATCTAAAATTGTGAATCCTTACCTGCACTGTATTCCCCGTCCCGTTGGTTTATTTTATCGTATTACTTACCTACTAGGCTGTTACTCCTGTTACGCATTTTTATGGCTTTTATAAAAATTTAAACTATCTTTGCAAGTATTGGTTATAGTTGTACTAAAATGTTTGGAGTGTATCAGACCCAAATTGAACAAAAACGAGATATTTACGTCACCTCTCAACTTAGAATACTTTTAAAACTATATTTGTGTCCTTACCCCCCCCCCCCTTTCTCATTTCCACGGCTGCATAAATCAAATTCCCTCTTCACAATTTATCAAACGACTACAATCCATAGTAAAATTAAATCATTGCAATGAAAGAAAGTAAAAATATGTGAGCCTTGTAACAACTACTTAATGAATGCATAAACCTGTGCATTTTATAGCCAGCGTTTCAAATTAAGCTAAAATAACCCTGTTGCATCTTGATGGCAAATGTGCTTTAGCGGTTGCTCCCTAATTGTAGTGAATGATATTTAAATTTTGTATTCTACAAATAATAAAACATACCGGCATGATATACCGTATTCAATACTGACTAAACCTGCTCGCAGTTTCCCTGAAAAACGGATAAACGCCTTTTATGACTGGTCATGGAAGTACTTGCTAGTACATTCGAATTTTTAAACCGTTTTAATTACCAATAACTGCCAAGGCTTACTAATTTAAACATCACCTATTAAGTGTTCTAAAGTATGACTAATTTTAATTTTATATAACCTAATGCCATAAGGGTATTTTAACCTATTTCAAACAAGAGAAAGAATACTTTATATCGCTATTACTTAACGTAATGAAACTCTTTTGCGTTGTTGGTAGGAAACGTTGATTAATAGCTGAGGACAATGTGCTATAGCTATTGACTTCACTATGAGATCGATCACTGCAGATTTTTAAGGGACATATATAAGAAAGAAGCCCTGGTGAAATGCCTTGCTAAATGTTCGTTGCACCACGCTGATGAAATTAAAATGCTAGCTCTCTTGTGTTAAATTTTTGTGGATATTTCCCGCTAAGTAGACTATTCTAATAATAAGTTTAATCATTTTCTTTCTGAGAAACGTTATTTTGAAAGTCTAAAAATTCCGAATACTTTGACTTGCTTTCTGAAGTGCAACCATCGGCATTACATTGTACATACGACATACTTATTGTTCGCATCATTCAATTGTCACTAGCGTAAACAATATATGTAAACAATATGTTATGCCCCGAAAATGAAGGAAGATTTATAACTTTCTTGACTTTATCACAAAACATCCGCAGTAAGTTATATTGCGATACTAAGTTTTCTGAGTATTCAAAAAATGTCTATAAGGGAGTAGTTTTACCTCTGGGAAATTTAGGTATAATCGTGGACCACTGTGTATTATACATAATTATACATGTATTTGGTAATAATTAAACAGAATGATAAAATTAGTCTCAAGGCTTAAATCCCCCTTAGACACTGACATAGGTGCGAAATTAAATAAATAAGCAAAATAAATATCCGAGAAAACAAAATCTTGAGTATGTTGCAACTCTTTGTCCATGGGTATGTGCGATGGAAAAAATTGGTATACTTGATAAGGCACACTTCTGGACATGTCTTGGATATACCTTACCAGATTTGCTTAAAATTGAATGTCGTAGTGTACCTTAAATAAATGAATCAATATTGTTTTGACAACACATTATTAACTCCTTGGGTTTGACTTTTCTTATGTACTAGTAAATTCAATATTGCAATTTCATATCAACCTATTAATTCTTTAAATAATCGTTGATTCATATATAATTTATATTTAACTGATTATTTGACAAGCTTTGTTTCCCTATCTCGTCACACACATTAGCAGACTATCCATTCAAATATAGTCTGATAAGCAACATACGGAGCAAGTACTGGGTGCTGCTTATCCTAGTGAGACTCCTGACCAATCGCTTTGTTAATCTGCCTATCACAGTGCTCTAATAGCTTAACTAAATATCAGAACTCAATCCATCCGAAGGACATGAGGAACCAATTTGATTTTGACCATCTGTTTAAAAAATTACCAGTTTATTTGAAATATGCCCCCCCCCCCCCCCCCCCCCACACACACACAAAGACTCGCTTAACCAAATTATACTTTCCCTCAGAATGTAATCTAATGGCTGCAATTAATTGAAGCTGGGTTAGGATATATATCATTTGCCAATTCCACTTTTATATCTAGTCTTCGCACAACTGCAACATTTCCTACTTATTTCTTTTTTGCAAATCTTTAATTATTGTCCTAATGGATTGCTGGGAAAGATGGAAAGGAATCTTGTGCCTATTGCAGCTGTTGACTCACTGATAAAGCTGTCTTAAAAAAATAAAATTAAAAATGTTGACCTGTTTTTGGTAATGTACTTGAAAATAATTAATCATGGTAACATATATCAGTAATCACTATCAATTACTTAAGGTTTTTTATTGTACTTACTGCCTTTTGTACCAATATAATTTGCTCCTTGCTTGTGCCTGAACCCTGCAAATGCCCATCTATTCTAAAGCATAGGAAGAATACATTTCCACAGCTTTGCTGCGGTTTGACTGCTCACTGTGAGACAAATACTTGCAAAATTAATAATAAATGTTTTCATCCTATTTCAATAAACTGTGATTTTGCTTTTATTAGTTGGATTTTTATGCAGTAATTGACCATGTGGACCACATGAGCTCCCATATGTTGGGTAACATAATATACAAATTAACTCCCATCCCATTATGTAATAGGAAAATCCATACAATAACACCTATAAAACCTTAGACCTTTGTTTTCTTGGTAACATGTTCTATGTAAATGCCAGGATAACATGAACAAGAAAAATAAATAAATAAAAAATAGGAAAAGATAACAAACAGTACTTCCAAACCTTTTCAAAAGACCAACAAACAAATGAAACGATACAAGTCTGCAAATAGAGCATAACACTTCCACAATTTAATAAACCTCCTCTCAGTACATACAGTACTTTGATTATACTTCAGAAAGTGAAAGTGTACCAATTCTCGTGAATGCTTTCTCCGATTTAACGACGATTACATTTTGTAAAATGCGAATCAATATACCTCCTTCGAGCACGATACATCTATGTAGAAAACAAACTAAAATCCGTCTAGTAAGCCCGGCTTCTTAGAATATTCCGTGTTTTATGAAATTATCCCCCCCCCCCCCGTTATAGCTATGATGGACTCGAAGTTTAACATTTCACTCCTAAAAATAATTACTCAAGTTAAACAATACTTTGATCCCCCAAACTAATCTTAATATGTTCCTGTTACCTGTAACTCACAAATTACAATATCGCGTTAAATCAATTCAGTTTACGAAAAAGTCCAATCAGGCCAAATCCAAAGTCAAACTTCGCCATCGATACGTCTAATTTGCTTTGACACTACAAACCTCAATAGATATACTAAAAATCAAACTTATTTGATTTAAAAAATTTAAAACATTGCCACAATTTAACTCCCAAAAATTTTCCATGACCTTACCGTTTAATCGATTTTTCGAGAAAGGAGGTAGAAAAGAACTTATTAGACTATATACAAATGGACCTAAATTATCCGGAATGATAGCTTGTGACTAAGGGTGAAAATTTATATTTATCCGAATGTACATAACTTATCCGGAATAGATAATTATTACTAGGGTTACTGAAATAAACTCACTTATCCGAGACCAGGCTCGGATAAGTGGTAATATATTAATCCTCATTTTATTGTCAAACTAAATTGTTTATGTGTAGACTTTATATGTAGCTGTAGGGAGCACAATTGTACAGTAACGTGCTAGAATGACAGCTCCACCCCCTTATAAATATAAAAAGTTCAATGATATCCGCTTCACTATAAATTCTATTATTCCTACTATATTGAAAAGTGCTGGGAGCTGGTTGTGCACTGTTTATTTAATCCGTAATGTAACTTTATTCCAATGCGTATTACATCTATGTCTGGAGTTAATAAAAAGACCGCTAAATTCCTGAGCATGAGGAAGTTGCTCCCAACACTTTTCATGTCAATAAATGTGTCTCAAAGAAAGAAGAATTCATTTTATAGCGGAAAGATACTCGTATATCGTTGAACTTTCACGAACTTTGTAGAAGTACATATATGTTCTAATTTTAAACCTGTCACGTGACAAAAAAACTGATGTAAGCGCTACGTTGCCTTGGCTGAACTCAGCAGAGACCCGATATATACAAGTGACAACACCACAATTCACATTTATCGAAACTAATGCTGTTAAAAAAATATTAAGAATGTCTATTAATTTTCTTTGAATATTTTATAGGCGTATATTTCAAGGGCGTCCTTGACCTAGCTGCGTAGCTCCAGTTTATCAAAATAGACCAACATTATGGTAGAGTAAAGCTTTTCACGACTTTTGTCTCTTTCTTTTCAGACATGTCAGACAGAGAACTTACTTATGACAGTTATCTTGGAGTAAGTTTTACATTCAAATAAAACATTTGCCATTTAAAACTCCGCAGTTTTTTTCTTTCATTATCTAGTAATAAGAAAAACAATAATGTGTATTTTCAGTTGGACCGGTTGCTCCATTGTCAGGAACTGGAGACTGAAAAGGCTGGACAAAAAGTGGATGAAGAGCACCTTTTCATTATTGTTCACCAAGGTTCATTTCTCAAATTTCCAATTTCCAGCCGTACATGCAGCATAATATTGACATCATAATAGATCTGATTTTAAGAATGTACAATTTTAAAATCATATTCCCTACTGTTGTTTGTTATTTCTGAAAGTTGAATAATAAATCCACATTGGCAGTAAAAACCAAAGACTCTAAACATTAGTGCATATACTGAACGCAGAAAAATTCCTAAGCTAAAAAATATAAATAACATAAAGATAATACTAATAATTTATGATTTTTAAATCTGTGTTCTTAATTTTTTTTCTAGCATTCGAGCTTTGGTTTAAACAAATCCTTGTAGACCTCCATTCAGTTGTAGAAAAATTCCCAAAGCTTGTAAGTTTATGCTGCAATTTAGCCTGAAAATCATGCAACTCGAAGAAATTTGTCTTCAATGAAATTCCATATAACTTGTGTTTTACTGTAAACGTTACGTTTATTCTCAGATGAGGTCTGATGATAATTTCAAATAAGTATTGTAAATAATATCATTTTTTGTTCCTTTACTTTCAACATCAAGTGAAAAAAAAAAATCAAAGTTTAAGCATGCATACTATGACCCAATGCCAGTGCAGAATTACTTATGTTTTGTATACTAATCCAGAATGTTAAATATCTTAGGATGTTAAAAACAGAGATTTTGCTGGAATACCATCAAAATTAGGACGGATCATTCTTATTCAGAAGGTAAATGAGCACATTTCTCTTTTCCTTACTCGCGGTATGTTACCGCAAATGATTTATTCATAAAAAAGTTTATTCTACGACCTTTTTCATACTGATCGCGTTGTAAATGTTTGCTTGAACAATACTTTATCAAACAAAACAAACAAAAGAATCCCTGAGACATGGTTTGCATAAAAGAAGCGGAGTTCCTGTAGACGTGTTATATTTTGCATCTCATTTAGCATTTAGCATAAAGGTCTCTACACGTGTATTGTTATAACTTTCATATTGTCTTATATTTTATTGTCTAATCAACATATATTATATGATATTCTTTCTTATTTATACACACATTTTGAATTGTATTTAGATGTTTTAACATAATTTAAGGCATCTTATTTTATTTTACTGATTTTTTTGCTATAAGTATTATCGACTTTAAAAGATATTGATTTCAAGATATTAATAAAAGTAAGATATTTAATCATATTAATATAGTAATGTCCAAATGTAAAATTAATAAATAGTTATATCGATATAAATATATGAAAATTTCCGAGAAAGAAGTGAGAAAATATTTTATGAATTAACTTCAAGGGGGCGAGAATTCGAATGAATCTTTACTTCACTCGGGATTCAGTGAAAGCTCCTGTACCATGTATTTGCTATCTTATATACGATCATCGGCTGATAGAGATTCAAAAATGTTTTGAAATAGGGGTAGGGAGAGGCATCAGCAGTTAGATCATAGGGGGCTACTGTCCCCATCACCTCTTTTGATGAGGGGGAGAGGCAAGAGTATCTTTGTGATCCTCCTCTAGCTGTTTTTAAACTGCCGCTTATATATACCGAAAAATAAGAATATTTGCAGTTCGATAATTGAATATCTTTCTTTTCTTGTCATATATATTATTGTATTTGGCTGACTCCCAACCTTTTTCCCTTTTAAATTTGTGACTAAGCTTATGCAGACTGGCTGCAGTAAAGCACAATTTATTTTACATTCTTCTAAGTAATGTAATAATTTAAAGTGAGATCTAATTTGCTGATAGTTAAATTTTATGTGATATATATATATATATATATATATATATATATATATATATATATATATATATATATATATATATATATATATATATATATATATATATATATATATATATATATCATGATTCACTGCATACATTTTTTGAGTTCGGGATGGGGGGGGGGGGGGCACGTCTATGTGGTAGATCCTATGTTTACCACAGAGAGATAAAACATCAAATATTTACAGTGTCACCTTTATAATATTGTTAATTCTACCTTTGCTTCATCCACGAATAGGATAAGTAATAAATGTATTTAAATTGTATTTATCAATGTATTAATATTTCATTTATGAATGAAACATTGAAAAAGGGGGTAGGGGTGGGGTAGCTGTCATTTATTATTTCAGTCACAGCAATACTTATCATGCATTCCTTGGATGCATATAATTTTTATTTCAAAGAAAGACTGATGACTTTTATAAGTAGGAAAAAAATAATAAATTATTACTTGACTTGCATATGTATTTCATTTCTTTCTAATTAGAATGATGTAAATTGATATTTACTTTAAAGGGGAAAAACTAATCATGCCCCTCTTATCCCTTCTTCTTCAATACTTGTTTCCCCTCTATAACCAAACAACAAATATTTGACACTTTACACATGGTACATTGTGCACGTGCTGTCAAAATATCTTAAGGATGAGACGTTTCACTTGAACTCCTGCGCCAGAGAAGTTATTTGAAAAACAATATTTTGAATTTTTTTACTAGAATTATTAGTATATTTATATCAGTTTGTCTATTATGCACACATCTTTATTGTTGTGTGTCGAGATAACAACATCGATATCTTTAAGTCTCATGCTTAAGTCAATAATTTTCAAATCAATATTTCTTAAGTCGATATAACTTTCAGCAATAAAATCAATCATACAGAAAAACCGCTTTAAATTTTGTGAAAATACCCATATACAATCCTATATAAAATTGAAAAAAAGAAGTTATAACATATAATATGTTGATAAGACAATAAAAAATAAGGTAAATGGAATACTACAACAAGTGTAGAGACCTTTACGCTTCCGTAACACTCCATAGTCAACCTTATTAAAAACACACACACACACACACACACACACACACACACACACAAAAAACAAAAAAAAAAAAAAAAAAAACAAAAAAAAAAAAAAAACAAAACAAAACAAAACAAAACACCAAGAACAACTTACAATTGTAATTAAATGTTGCAGTCAAAACACATCCCAATGAAATATATATCTGGTAATAAGGACATTATATCATTATAATAACCTGTGTTCAATTTGTAATTAAATTAATATTTAATCACTGTTATAATGGATGTTAACTTAATATGTCAATTGCAATACCATTAGTAAACAATGAAATAAACAGAAATGAATAATTTCAGTATTTGTGTCGTCTTATTTCCTTTTAGCTGATCATCGGTCATTTCGAAATAATTGAAACTATGCCTCCAGCCATTTTTCTTAATTTTAGGTAAGTGAATGAGAAATCCGATGATAATTTTTTGCTTAATATTGTATAGCTTGTCGGCTTGTCGACAGATGATACAGGCAAAAATGTGGATTGATATTTTTGGAAGTACGTACTTTGCTTGTGAAATATGCGAATAACGAATTTCTAAAATATTAAGAAATTGTACATTTTCTATGATGTTCTAAATTCTGCCTTTCTTTAACAATTTCTCTTCATTATGCAACCGTTTTCTCACTTTTAGTCGCATTATTGTGAAAATTTGAATGAAAATTGAAATCTAATTTTACTTTTCATTTTATTGTTATAAACATGACTTAAAGCTGAATGCGACTCGGAAATAGGCATACGCAATATTAGATTGTATTATCTATCAGAACTGGGGTGCATTCTCACACCTGACTGCTTTATTGTCACGGGTATCGGCATAGAATGGCGACATGTGTTCGTGCTGGTATCTTATATTGCCTTTGTTTACATTTTATTGCAGTTAGTGGATTTGTGTTTGTTTGTATACTGCACTGACCTGTGCAACTGTAAGTTTTTTTTTGTATCTTTCTCTCCAGTCGTGGAAGAAGTACACGGTTAATTTTGTCGCTGCCAGTGCTATGTAGCATACGTCCGTTTACACTGGTGACGACTGATTACACTGAACAGTGACTCGGTGAGCGGTTTATATAGGGGCCCTCAGATTAGCGATATAGCAAGTGAATAAACGAATGTGGCGGAAAAATCCCTCTTACGAATCGTGTTCAGCTTTAAGTTTTTATTTTCAGGATTTTTTAAGTAGCTCAGTAGCTCCTTTGATAGACGAATCGCTCCGTGATCGAAAGGTCGTGGGTTTAAACCCTGGTTGCAACTTACATAAGTCGATAAAAAATAGGTACATGTAGTGATATTCCATCGCTAAGTGCTCGGTACTTGGAATAGAAAGTTGCGGGTCCTTCGGATGAGACTTTAAAAAAATCCCAGATCCCATGTCATAGTAGGCGTTGACACGATACAGATCGCTCACTGCTCAATGGCCCTGAGTATCGAGTATAGGTCTCAGTTTAAGCCCTTCACCGGTATATAATGGCGTCTCAATCTGAGTGAAAAATTCTCGAACGGGACGTAAAACAGCAAATAATTAATCAACCATTGTAGATTTTTTTTTTTTTTATAAAAGTATGTTTGTGTCCTCTGTTCGTAATGGAGCTGTATATGTATGTATATTAATAAAAATCGATTGTCAAAGAGTTTTGGATTGAACATAATAAAATAATTTATGTTTTTATCGATAATATAGTAATGTAGCAGTAATTAATTTATAACACCTCAAATATACCTCAGTCATTCTACGATACATGGACCATTTCAGGGTATAAAACATGAAAAAATAGCTGTTTCAAATAGCAAAATGAACATCATAGTTCTCTAAAGGATATATCAGTGAACTTGAAAAAAAAAAAAAAAAAACAAGAATTGTCCACAAATCTTGTATTTTTTTTTTTTTTTTTTTTTTTTTTTTTTTTTACAAAAATTTCAATATACCATTGATTTTAAGGTAATGTTCCGGAAGTTAATGCTTGATCAAGTCTTGCTATTTTTTTAATAAGCTGAATTTGACCATTGATTTCTGATGTTCAGTATAGAACCTGAAAGTATGATTCATTAATTTAAGGAAGCTCTAAACACTAACAAAAATATTTTTTGGACTGTCAGAAATTTATATCACATAAAGATGTACATACTTTATTACTCTAGTACGTTTTCAATATAGGATACCTGCCTTATTTTTCCGGGAAAATGTTCAAAGACAATGACATATTAGTTAAAAAAATCATTATTTTTTTCAATACATGAGAAAATACATGCAAATAATGTTTTCAGTAACTTAATCTTGGTCTCATAAAATGTACAGAATACTTAAATCAATTTTAAATTGAGTCATTTATTGTAGATTTTCATTTATTCTACTTGACTTCAAAGGGCAGGTCACTCTAACTGCCTAAAACTACCACAGAATAAGTAGGCAGTGATTAGAGCTCCCTTAAGTCAAAATTTTTGGACAAATGTCGTTACGGAAATTAATCGTTAGGGAAGTTAATTCTCAGCAATAAAAGTTAAAATTCTCTGTAATAGTTAAAAGTAACTTTTGTTTTAGGACATCAAACAAAAGTATGAAGCATTTTGCTCCTAAAATAATAACCTTCCTTTATACCTTTCATGCAAAAAGCATCCTGAATTACCGTTACCGAAGTAAAATTTTTAAGAGAGACAAGTATTTTTGTCTAATTCATGTTGCTATGTCGAAAATGTAATGGTCTATAATAGCTGACTAGCAACTGGAATCGATGGTATAAGGTTCCATGGTCACTTTCAGATAAGTTTCATTTCTTTATGAAATATGCATTCTGTGCGTGAAATTTAAAACAAAATCGTTAATTGATTTTCAGCGACATGCTATGATTTCGCATGAAGAAGATCCATACATTTCTTTGCGAGAAGTGGTTTCATTCCTTTTTACATAAAAAAAAAAAAAAAAAAAAAAAAAAAAAAAAAAAAAAAAAAAAAAAAAAAATCCTTTTTTTAACATTCATTGCTGAAGGCTTATGCGGCTGAAAAATTCATCTTGAAATTTGTAAATAAATGAAGCGACATTAAGATTTGCAGTGGAATACGTTTTCAACATTGTGTTCATATCAAAATTTTAACTGCATATATATCATTAAATATTTACAAAACAATATAACAACAGTAAATTTGTAAGCGACATAAAAAATTCTTAATTGAGGGCATGCGTTGTAGAATGACTGACTATGGGATAATTTTTACGTTACTGTTCCGATATTTGTGAGATTAAATCTATCATTCATTTTAATAGTGGTGTATTTTAAACATTTTTTAATCTATAAAAATATTTACAAATTGAATTTTATCTTTAATTTCTTGCTTTTGAAGAAAATACTTGAAAAGTGGATCTGGATTTCAAAGCCTACAGTTTAGACTCATTGAGAATACAATAGGTCTTCAGAGAGTAAGTCGTTTTTAAATACATATATATAACTTCTACTTTCAAGTGTTTGAGGTTACTTCTACACATTTAAAACATTTCTAATATTTTTTTAGGAAACAAGGAAATCACACAAAGAAGGCAAGGAATATACAGATGAATTTAACGAAAAACAAAGAAAAGAAGCAGAGAAATCAGAGAGGGGACCCTCTCTGTTTACTGTTGTGGAGGTGATTAACTTTCAAGTAAAAATAAAATGGCAGTGCTTGGTACACTTTTCAAAACCTGGATATTATTAGAACACAATCCCGCTGTCCGTTCAATACATGATGCCAAATGCTAATTATTTTCAATGATAAACGCGTAACAAATACATTTTTATTTTTCCTTTTTCATGGAATACCTTTTTTTCAATGCTCAATCTAAAGATATATAAAAACAAAATCAAATAATAAAACGTAAAATGAAAAATGTTAAATCGATGAAATTTTAATACCAGGTTACCGGTAGTTTAATGGTGAGGTTACTTTGGTTTTCAGCCTACATCTCACTTTTATTTCATCGATTGAACGAGAGACATTTACTTTTTCTCATTAAAGGAAAGTGGTAAATTCATGAACATTTGTCAACATTTTTCCAAGAACAAATAAAACAAATGTGCAAAATTTCTAGTTATATGTAATTGGGTCATTAGATAAGACCCTATGAAATTATAAACTTGAATATGTCCATTGACCAGGAGCAGCATGACTGCATCATTTTAACGTCACGTCAGTAGTAGTTTTTCCCCCTCATGTTTAATCTGGAATTGTGATTCTTTTAAAACAATGTGTAGTTACCACCCCGATGTAAAATCACAGGAAGTGTCGTTTACAGCTATCAGATTTCTATACTGTGATAAAAATATTTATGATCTGGTTATTTATGGTTTTAATTCTATCAAACTTGCATAAAATAAAGCCATAATAAAGTTCATAAATTACGTACATATTACATATTTTCAATTATTTTCTCACTTACTACTACTAATTACTTAGTAGTTACCAATTTTCATTATCTTATTTTATGGTAATCCTACCATCGACGCATTGATATATCATATTAAAAATAAGAAACAGTGCTTGTTTTTATTTATTATTAGAGTTTATCAAAAGTAAATGTCATTTTTCACCAAAAGACGTTCATTGGAAAGAAAATAAACACAATGCCTTAATAATTTACGATCAGCCCTCGTATACCTGTTCAAATAAAAGAAACCATACAGAGAAACAGAGAAACGCATTGTGTAAGGCATCTTAAAAACAAACAACATTTTTCTGTAATCATGGCTTTATGATTATCAATTGCTCTGCTGTCATATTTTGTTACGCGCGGTAACGTGTAAAATTTTACATGTAATTTATATTATTTTAGTTCAGGCATTCTAATTGAAGATTTTTTATTGTACAATTTTTAACGTTGCTTACAATTAATTTTAAGTTTGAAATAATAGTAATCATTATTTCTTTTATCAGTTTTGAAAGGAAGTCATTATATCGTACAAATAATTCAATTTATGTTTATATACTCCTAAAGAGCATAATCATTGAATAGAAGATTTAGAGTTTGAAATATCGTGTATAAGTTTATGGAATTATAAATGTAACTGCTAAGTACAGGTTTATAGAAGAAAATAGCAGCATATACAAATATTATTCAATGACACTGATCTTGTAAAATAAAAACAATTATGAAAAGGTTTCATTGTTTATTACACTTCATGCTATATATATTCTGTATATCTAAAAAAAAAAATAATAAAATTAAAAGAATTTATGCTTTACATTGAAACTCACTTGTTTTTACCTCCTGCTCTCGAGTTTTTCGCTCATACAGAGACATCACACTACACTGTGAAGGGCTTCAAATTTAAGCATTTAGTCGGTACGTAGGGCAATTGAGCAGTAAGGGATCTTAATTGTGTCACCATGCCGTGAAACAGGGCTTCAGTTTTTAATTTTTCATCCAAAAGACCCATAATTTTACGTTCAAAGTGCCGGGCTTGGCGAAGGAACAGTTGCTACCTATTTTTTTTTTTTTTATCGAATTTGGTCAGTAGCGGCCTGGGTTTGAACGCACGACATTCCAATCACAGAGAGAACGCTCTTCCGATTGAGCTACCGTGACAGTGCAACTTATCTAAAATACCTCATCACAGTTCAAGATATATCAGAGCATTCCTAAAATATAATTGTAGATTCTTTGTTACATTAATTTAGCTATTTCAAAGTTTAATTAAATTCAGTAACTTTTAAATTCTCAATATAAACATAAAATTTTATTAAAATAAATATTCTTCCTCTTTGGATTTCGTTCTACAAAGACAAATGAGTGCTTTTATAGCATTTATATATCTTTTAGATTCTTTGGTTCCCTCTGACAACAAATAAATTTTTCTTTTAGAATTGGCTGGAAAGAATATTTACAAAGTATGTTGATGACAAGAAAAAATATTGCGAAGACTTACAAAGAATGGTGGATGCATGGTCGAAGGTAATATCGAGGACGTTGAAAAATTGCAAATGTTAAGAAATCTAATTAAATAACTTTTATGACAAAACAAGTATATTTTCTCGCTTCGATTTTTCAGGATGCTGGGAATCAATGCGACAAGGTAATGATATCCTTCAAAGCAATATTACAACATAAAATAAAATTTAAGAAACTTGTACAAATACATATTTTTAGAAAATAATATATTTAAAAAAATAATATTCATTTTCACTACTCATTTGATTCAGACGTCATTACTGGGAATGGTAGATGAGGATGAATACAAACGGAGTGGTGAGTTAGATACAATACAACAAGATAAATTGATTTAAAATATCATCATCATATCAGATATTTAAATACTGTGAAATTACTGTTTTTCTTGGTGGATACATTTTCAATGTTTTCGAGGTTTGAAAAGACTTGAGAGAGACTTATAAGAATTGATATCCTCCACGAAATATGAAAAGCCATTGAAAAAAAACTACTTTGCAATTCTTCATCCATGAAAATAAATCCCACGAAGCCATATTTTTTCCTCAAACCAAGAAAATCTGATCCCACGAAAATATGTGATTTTACAGTAACTCGATATTGAAACCAACTCAAAGAATGAAATGCATTCACTTGGTTTGCAAATCTTTTTTTTGGCAATAAGGTAAACGATTCAGTTATGAAGCATTTCATGGAGCCCTGCTGATTTCACTTTATCAAGAGGAACCAGAGTTCCAAAAGGCATATGAAACAATGAAACTCGTGATGGACGTCGACGCTTTAGTCTCAAAATGGCGCCGTAAGTGCACTTTAAAAAAAATAAACATGCATTTCCTGGCTAAATGGATTTGCTTAAAGATCTGGTAAACACATTTCTTTTGACTATTTTACGGTAAATATAATACACCTCTCTAGAGGAATACCTCTTTCGTTATTCATTCCGGATGTTGTGTCAAAATTAAAACAAATTGATGAATAACTGTGAATAATATTCTGCAAAATGGCCACATCAAAAATTAAGTTCTTTAGTCACTCATCGATAGAATGATACCTGAAAACTATTTTACATGAAAACAGTCAGTCTCGAGAAAATGGTCACTTGAAATGAAGAATCGTGCAGCACAAGTGTGAACATTTTGTTTATACTTACTGAAAAACTCAACTTATATTCATAAAAGTACAGAGTATGCGTGTGAATATTTTACAAACTAAATGGACTTTAATTTCTAGTTATATAGCCAGCAAATGTAAACTTCGAATCAACTGTAATAACAATCACAACTTAAAAATAAATTTACAATGGATAATTTTTTTCAAATTAATACATTGATTTGAAAAATTATGTTAATTACTTTTAAATTGAAAAGAGATATGTCATCCAGAAACTATGCATTTCATATAATCATCTTCATAAATTAATCATTTTGATTTTAAGACTAAGTACTGATGATTTATCTACTAACAATCTCAAATGGAGTAATTTAACATTACTTGCAAAGCAAATTTTACTTTTGAAATGCGTAGATGGAATGGTTTACTGGCTGAATTAGATATTGTTTATTGTGCATTGCAATTAATATGAAAATTGGTGTTAAATTCAATAAGTTTTTCAGCTGTCATAAGCAGTATATAGTCCTTACATATAGCAACATTTCATATATTTGAACAACTTTATATACTCAAGAGAGTTAACTCAATAATTGATCATTGATGTTCATGACAAAGTATTATTGGTGAGAAAGCTCTTAAACTGCTGGTTAATACAATTGTTAAGGAATTTGAAAAATTCACAAAAATGATTTCAAATATGATTAATCCCTCCAAAGCAATATCTTAATAAACAATAATGTGGATAATCGTGGTGCTTCTTAGGAACACAAAGCCAACAAAATATACTCTAAAATCAAAAATTTGCAAAATGTTGAAAATGATAAAGAGTAAATTTTATAATAGTTTTATTCTTTATCGTTTATCAGCTGTTCATAAAACTTTCAGTAAACAAAGAATTGATTCCTTGTAGATTCCCATGTGTTAATGGTTCATCGAATGCTGGGTAAGAAAACAGGAACTGGGGGTTCGTCAGGATACGACTACCTTAAAAAGACCAATGAGTAAGATTCTAGTCTTAAAATCATAAGAAAATATTTTCTTGCATAAAAATATTTCATTTGTATTAAAATTACTTTGGAAGATTAAAGTGTATCAAACGTCGGAAAAAATGTAGTAAAGGATGTGTGCAATGCTCTTTTTTTATTGTTGCAGGGACGATTACAGAGTATTTATTGAACTCTTCCACATGTCTGCATTTCTGATTCCTTACGAATACAAACCAAAGGGAGAGACACTTTACAAACGAGACTAAGAAATGGTTGGAATAAAATGCCGACATAAAGAAAATTACCGACGACAGAAAATATGTACAAAATATACATTTTGACATTTCTGTGGATGACCTTTCAATATTAAACAGCGAAACAATTAATTAAAAAAACAATTCTTGATTGTGCTTATATAACTGCAGCATGTCATTTAAACTATCATGTGGCTTCACTTTGATAAGCATGTCTAATTTCAATTCTTTTAAGTATTTTTTAATCTATAAAGCGTCCTTGAATTTCATAGTATTACATATAAAAATTTTTTATCTATAGCATAATTTGTGTCCTTTTAATGGACTTTTGCAAGAAGCGCTGACTTTTACAGTCAACGACTTACTTTGACATTTAAACCTGTATTATGTAAGGAGGTATGGAATTGATAAAAATAACAAAATGTTAATACATGTAGTGGTTATAGGTATGGTGTTAGGGGCGCTAACATTATTTCCCGATATACAATCAACACAAGAGATGATGGGAGGCAGAATAACATAACTTAAAATATGTTTTTGTGAGGTTTACTACCTCCTTTCAATCTGATTTGCTGAAGGAATTAAATAAGGAAGGAAAAAAAAATTCCGAAAGGAAAACTTGGCAGGAGTTGGTCAAGGTGGAAAGGAAGGGGGTTGAAAATAGGGTGGTTATGGTTCCCTTCCCAGACAACGTAATATGTGCTTTGAAACGGCCCATTATTACCTTTTAATTAATTGTTCAGCTAAATATTTATATCGCAAAAGAGCTTCCATATATTGTCATAGTGTAAAAGTAAACCGTCGACTGTAAAAGTCAGCGCTTCTCTCAAAAGTCCAATAGCGTAAGTGAACAACTTTACTTCTTATAAAAAAGTTAATGTTATCCAATATCAGGTTCATGCGTTAATGCAGAGCTGCCTTTAATGCATATATCAATTCCATCTTTTGCATTTGCTGATTGTTATTGATTGATTTTTTTTAATAAAAAATAAAAATGCAGGAAATACCAATTATTCTCTGTGTCTTATTTTTATATCATTTTGAATAATTATGCTTCTGAATGTTTTACAATACATTTTTTACGCTGGTAGTAGACATCTAGAATAAGTAGGCCATTAGTCAATAGAGCATAGCCCTAATAATAATATGTGATAACCAACTGAAGGAATAAATTAATGTTTGTACTAGTTTGTATAATATTGAATTAATTGCTGCTATAATAACAGATAAATAAAACAATATCATCACCAATTTCACATTTCTTGCAATACGCATTGATATCTGATATTTTTGTTTAGTAAACCATACAATTCAAGTATTTCAAAATTTTGCTCTACAATTTACAAATAAAAAAAAGAAAAAGCGATTTGCTTTTTTAAGATTCTTTTCTTGATCAACAAAATCATTACACACACACACACCCTCACACACACACACACACCCTCACACACACACACACACACCCTCACACACACACACACACATACACACACACCCACACACACACACACACACACATACCCTCACACAAACACACACACCCTCACACAAACACACACACACACATCAACAAACTGAAAAACAGATGTACAATCAAATGTACAATCAAAAGGGCTAACAAGACTACATTTTCATGATTTTAAGTAACTCCAAATGTTTTATCATATTTTTAAGAAAATGAAAGAAGGTTCAAAAATAGTTTATAAAAGTCATTTTTTCTAAAAGAATGAGAAAAGGTGAAGATAACGAACAGTGGTCGATCTATAACAAAAAAGCCTATAAACAGTACAAATCTATAAACAGGTCATTAAAAACGAAGCTCTGGAAATTTCAGCGGTGGGATCACGTGCCTTGGAAGAGTAAACATTCCCTATCAACCGGACACGCCCGCAGTGAACCTATGTATTGATCGGGTAGGCGGAATATTCTGTAGTCAAATTTGTACGAAAACAAAGGCCTAACAATTGACAAAAAATATTTTAATCAAAATACGACTAAATGATAGGTTGTATTTGCTAACAAGGTCATTATAGCGACTATATAATTTAAGTAATGCTGACTTTAATCAAGACTTTTGAAATCCCTGTAACATCAGCTAATCTATCAGTATCCCGCTTCGGTTTAAAAAAGAGAGCAACAGTGTTAAATGACAACTCTCAGCTTACTAGTATGGAAGTGTAGTGTAGATTTATTAGCTCGCTAGATAGGGAAAAAATGGATTGATAACAAGAGAGCTACAGATCCACCCACTCATTAAATGTTTATTTATTGCGCACAATGATTGACTTTTCACCCACCCAAAATGGCTGCATGAATAGAATTTTTTTTTCGATCGTCCCAATTTCAGGCCCAGGAAGGTTATTAACAATAGTTCTAGGGAGTGTTAAGTTAAGGACGTAGAGAAAGAATATGTTACGAACACACTTTTTGTGATATTTTAGATGGCAGCTGAAATATACGTAGGAATAAATCTAGAAATTTGTGCACTTTTTAAAAGCAATACATATGCATTTTTTTAGTTTGTCCATTCCATTTTATTTCGACCAGGTAGCTACAGATCTGGAGCTAAATGAAGAAAGGAACACCAACTTTAAATACTTTACTTTATTTCTACTTCAAAAGATAGGGTGTCGTCAGGGAAAATACCTGTTTTATTCATAGGACCAACAGACATGTTTCATTAATATTCTGATATGGCTAAGGTGATTGTTAGGTCCCCTCCTTTTTCCTTTTAGTATTGTGTAACTTTTCGCATAAGGTATGGTCCGACCATAAAATCAGGGTTGCATCGGAGAATACGCGAATATTTTTTCGAAATAAAAGTATAACAGAGATAAGAGTGGGGTAAAAATTATAATTGTTTAAAGTCACTATCTACACCACTGTGTTATGTCGTCATTTGGAAAATTTCAAGACATTTACTTAATTTTCAGCAGTTTCTCAATGCAAGCATTTGGAATTGGAAAGTATACGCAAAACACACGAAAAATTGCGGCATTTGATTCGTTACGGCGCACAACAGAGCACTTCAGTTTTATATGCGTTCAGTAATGACGCTTTTAAAGAAATTTATAGATAATAGAAGATAAAAAAAAATAAATTAACCACTAGATGTTAAGTATACAAAGGGATTAATATTGGGCGATTCTTAAGCGGATGATTTTTCATCGAGTCCGGGGATAGAAAAAAAAACAAGCACTAGGAATAGCGAAAGACGCTCATACTGCAGACTGTCGAATAAAAAGATATACACGCTATAACTTGCGTCAGTTAAAAATTAAGATGGAAATTTATTTATTTTGTTTACCAAATAAAGTTACGAAAATACTGTTAATTACACAATTGAAAATGAACGAGATATAATGATGTCAAATTTTAATTATTTTTTCCTACCTGGAAAGTAATGCCTCTATCTAAATTGATGCATCACGTGACATCATCGCTACTTTTAGATTAATAAACAAAAATGGCGTCAAGAAAACGAGGTAGACCGTCTGGTATACAATTACCTCATTGTGACGTCACTTTAGCGCGAGTTTCACCGTGAATATTTCTACGCGTAAGTGTACACAAAAATGGCTTTCAAATCAATTTCACAGTTGGCTTATATAACTTTTGACATGAATGGCACTTACACTTAAAGATACTTATTTTTTTTAAAGCAACCAGTATTAACCATCTTCTCAGTAATGACAGATATTAACCTCCTAGTCAAAATGCAACGTACCTAATCGTCTATGATTTCCCGTGGACATGCGTGTCTATATACTGTTTACGCACTTCCTTAATCAATATTCATGAAAAGAATGAATTCTTAATTGCAGATCTTGTTTAATTGTTTTGTTATTAAAACGACTTGTTTAGTAAAACGTTGTGGAAAGTTTTTTATTTCAGTACGCAATATGTTTCTCAAAAATCATTTAATCATTTTGTTTTACATTAAAAAAATCGGCGGTTATATAGCGTGTATATCTTTAAGATGCATATAGTGAGAGTACTGTCCAGAGCTTTCTAATAACATTCTCCAGAAGGCCCCTTGTGTGTGCTAGATTAGTCCTTAGCTTACTTATGGGGAAATAATAAGGAACTCTAGTGTATGCATAAGTGAAATTCAGAATTAAAGTGGGGATCATCCAGTTTTTTTAAGCAAAGATGAAACGTGACGTTGATTTAAACACTTTGACTTTATTATCTGTGCGCTGTAGGGATACCATACATAACATATAATTCCATATTTTGTTTATTTGAGCATATATCTATTTGCAACTTTGTATGTTTATTGATGAACTATGTTCTTAAGAGTATCAAACATTTTAGAACTCATTTTTGATTATATTTTTTTTTTGTTCTAAACGACTTGTTCACAATTTTTCCGGAAAATCCTCTTACATAATTCAAATTATTTTTTAGTTCTTTCAGCAAATTACTGTATATAAATATTTATAATAATGCCAAATAAGGAACACAGTAGTAATAATTCATTAACAAAAAATGTTTCTCATAGATCGATTTTTATTTTAAAAATGGAGCACATTGGTAGAAATCTCGAAAAAAAAATATGATAAACTATACACATGCATTACCTCTTCTTACTATAAGCAAGTGTTTTGAAGTCTTGGTACATCTTATATAGTAGAACACAAAATGTAGTCCAGCAACTTTTTGGCAGACTCTGTGGTCTCCTTATTTCGAGTTCACTGGTATATATTGAATCGACATATAAATAGAAGAAACTATTGTTAATTGATACAGCATGGTTGATATATGTGGTTATCGAGTTGAAGGCTACATCAAGTGTTTTCTTTTGCTCATGTAAAAGTTTTTTTTATTAAGTCTGCTTCATATGACTATAAAGCAGGTCGGCTTATAAAGGAGCACAATGAGTGCCTATGAGAATTCCAACAGTTTGTTGGAAGACCTGGTCCCCAGAGCTTACATTAATGTTGTCATTGATGAACCTTTTACCATCAACTTCAGAGTACTTGTGTGTATAATCAGAGTGATTTTTTTTTTATGACCAAGCACAAGTTATGAAATATTAGTTCCTTTTTTGTTGAAAAAAGCATTCGTCTGTGATATAAAATCGCCTAGTTTAAAAGTTTAAGATTTCTTGTGAAAAAAGCCTGTATATAATGTAGAAAAGTCGTACCTTTTTTAAATGTAACTTACTTTTGAAATATTTCTTGATTTTAAATTATCTATAAGTTCTTTGGAGTTTCTGAGATTTGCAAATAGTTGGCTTTGTTCGATATTTTGTGTAATCGACAAACGCCTTTTTTCTAGATTATAAAAGCCATTGCTAGTGATCAATGAACTAGTATTTTTTAATGACATGTGGAGATAACGAACAGTAATCAAGCACTGAAGTCCACTGTACATGTAACAATAAAAATCGGGAGCAGAGCAAACACGGAAATCTAAAAACATCAGAGGTGGGACCAGGTGTCGTGGAGGACCGGACCCTGTCGACCGGTCACACCCGACGTGTGCTCATTGTCATGATAGGGTTAACAAAAAAAATTCGTAGACAAGTCTGTGTTTAATTAATGGCCTAACAATTAGTATGAAAAAGTCAGTCAGCATTTGGCTTAATGATGGATGGTATTTGCCAGCAAAGTCATTGTCTCAACCATAGAACTTGCGAAATGATGACTTTAAACGAGACTGATGATAATCTTGTTTCATCAACTTGTTTGTCAATAGCTTAACTCTTTCTGGAAATTAATCGTACATGTGCATGCTCTTGCATATTGCATCAACTTGAGATATAAACCCCATATGCAGGTGGTGAGGGTATTTTGCTACATATGTAAGGGAAGTTAATTAACGATACAAAAGTTGTAGTCATCAAGTTTATCTTTAAATTTTGTTGTTTGGTTACTATTAACGTCTTTTTCTAGTTAATTATCTAAATCTGAAACAGATATGTCAGAATCTATGGTTTCTTTTATTTCTAGTTTACTAGGTTATGTCGAGTTGACATTTGA